CACATTATCAAAAAAAGATACAACTGATATTGTTAACAAAAAAAAAAATCATAAAATAAAAATTTATAAAACAAAAGTCCGCGCATTGCGCGGACACTCTCCTAGTGTTGATTAAAACGTATAAAAATGTTAATAGGAAGGTTTTGAGATATTCTCTTATAAGGAGATCAAAGAGTCCTTGCTACTGTTGAAACTTATAAAAACTGTTGACCATCCATACAAGTTGTGAATTGGCGAAGTTTAAGAGTTCACACCAGATAAATCGATAACCAAAAAAAAAACACATGCTTCAATTTTAAAATTCATTAGCTTTTGCTTTTTTATTACTTTTTCGGTTTTATAACAGTTGTTATTTCATAGATAAATTTAACTCAAACACATTCCAATAGATTTTTACGATGACAACTAATATGAAAAGGAAAGAATATATATTCAGATTTTTTTATTTAAATACATTTTTTGTTTTTTGATAACTCAGTGTAAATCTCAGACCTATGGAGGGGCACTAGGGGATGTGCAGCCCATGGATAGACCCTCTCTTCGAGTATTCAAATGGGCCGAAAGCAAAGGTTCATATCCATGTAGCCAAATGAGATAAATCTAACAATTTCATGTTTGAGGAAAGTCGATCCATGGCCTCGACCAAAAGAACAACTCCTCCATAAAGTGGAAACCACTATACCACCACCACTTGGTTAGTAAGTAATTGGTTAATTACTTACCAATGCGTTACTTTTTGGTTTTGGTAAAACTTGCAAATTTGTACGCATTATATATCTTACTAGGAGGTGATCCGCGCTTCGCGCGGGAATTTATATTATTGTGTTAATTTTATTGTTTTTCCGCAAATTTAGTTTATTTCTATTGTTTATTATTGTTTCAAAAATATTACACATATTAATTAAAAATAATTAGGATTAGGCAAAATTAACGTACTGTCTTGTCCCATTGTATCCCATTTCGTTCATTTTCATCATGTCCATTCTTTCTCGTCTCATCCATCATGTCTGTCCCGTCCCGTCCTATCCCATTATGTTCCTTTCCATTTTGTTATGTCCCATCATGTTCCTTCCGTTTCTTCTCGTCCCGTTCCCTAAATATAACTAAGGATAGACAAAATTCTCGTATAGTCCCATCCCGTCCCATTTCATTCTTTTCATCTTGTCCCGTTCTTTCCCCGTCCCGTTCCGTCCTGTCCGCCCTATCGAGTCCCATCATATCTGTTATATTTTTTTTTCGGTTTTGTCTTGTCTCTGTCCGGTCCCTAAATATAATTAGGGGTAGGTGAAATTACTGTCCCGTCCCTTCTCGTCCCATTATGTCCCTTTCATCCCGTCCCGTCCAATCCCGTCTCATTCTGTTTTTTCATCTCGTCATGTCTAATTTGTCTGTCTCGTCTCGTCCAGTCTTATCCCATTTCTCTTGTTATGTTTTTTTCGTCTCATCTTGTCCGGTCTCGTCTCATTTCATCCCAAAATAGTTAAAAAAATCAGTGTTCTTTTATAACATCTTGACATCAATGTAAATTATATAATCTAACAAAAATAAATTTACTAAATAATAGTTTTTCTAGATTTATACATAGTCTTTCTCCTTTTTTAAAATGACTTTTCATATTCTTTGTTAAACTTATTATAGTAATGAATGCTAATTATTATGAAATTAAAATATTAAAAAGAAAAAATATAATAAATTAAAGAAAGTGCTGATGTGGCAAAATGAAGAATTTAGAAGCTATGAGAAGAGAGGAACATGAACTTTATATATATAGATTGATCAAACCACTTTTGATAAAAAAAGTTTGAGAAAAGTCATAGTCTTAAATGTATTCGATTTATAACATGCTTACACCGTGTAAATTACTTTTTGTTAAGTACTCTCTCTTGTTCCACAACATATGATATTTAAATTTTTAAGGTCACTTTTTATTAGTTAATGCTATACTTTACAAATTTTAAGAAAAAATAACTAAAAGTAATTAAATATTTGAATTAATAGTGTATAATATTATTATAAAAGTAGTTGGTGTGAAAAGAAAAATCATTACTAATTAATTACATATGAGTTAAAGATCTTCATTAAATAATTTTTCATATGAGTTAAAAACTCAAACATCAAATAGTGGAACCGAGGGAGTAAGAGATATTTAGCTATGTAAGTTTATAATTTTGCCTAAAATATAGTCGTCTATGTTATTTGAAAGTTTTTTTCATTGTTCTAGTTTTTAAAAGGTTAAACCGGTGAATATAGCTTCAGCAAAATGGTCATTATTTGAAAATTATTAGTAAGGGTGAAAGGATATGCATACTAATAAGTTTGTTGTCGTTGATATTTAAGAGTTACGTAAAAGAGGTTAAATGTGTTGATGCTTAAATTGGTCTAATGCATCGTTTTAAAACTTTATAAGGAAATAGAAGGTGACGAATTTGATAATCATAAAAGTGGAGAGGCGGACAAAAAAGATACGAAGCGTGCAGAAATGGTAAATGTGACAAAATTGTAAACCATAAGTCAAAAAGAAATAAATCTATTTGTCCCCCTATGTAATAAAAACCCACTCTACTTCTCAAGCCATATACTTACATATTTTGTTTACATTTAATCTTTCACAATATGCTGGTCTTATTTTTCCGTTTTTATTTGGACAATGTGTTACTGTAAAAGAATGTAATCGAAATTTTTGGACTAATATTCAAATTTTTTTTACAAATTTTCTAATTTTTTATAAACTTCTGCACTTTTTTTTTTAAAAAACTGAAGATTATTAATGCAAAAAACTACCAAATTTTTTGTTAAAGGTCAAAATGATTATTTAAATTATATTTTTGGAACATATCTTTCACGTTAATAAGTTCATTAGTTCTTGCAAACGTTTACATATTATCTGAATAAACAGTGTCCACATTCCTCTTTTTTTTGCTAGGAAAAGTGGTACCTAAAAGCTAAATAAACAAAATTTAACCGTGATTCTAGTTTTAAACTTAATGCGGTTTTAGATCTTGCTAGAATTCATACATATTACAACAAGGTCGAATCTTATTATGGTTTCCTCTCCTTTTTTGTACTACCAGAGCCGGCTTTAAGAGCAAGCAAAACAAGCGTAATTTGGCCCACAACTATCATAAGTTGCCTTTAGTATAGTGGTTTACGTGCGCGTTTATCTTGAATTCGAATGTAGGTAGCTGCAAAACTATACTTTTTTACCTTTTAATTAAAAGGCAAAAAAATACATTCAAACTCAGTATCGGCTCTGTGTAATACATTTGAAAATGCTCGTTTGTAGGCATTCTAGTTAAGACACACAAAAGATACACATAAAAGACAAAAATTGTGAATATATATATATATATATATATATATATATATATATAATAAACTAAATAAAGATGTATGAACTGGTTTACTGGAATTTGAGAAGAAAACATGTAACGGAATTTTGTGTTGTGGATTTTTCATGTTCTTTTTACCATGTATTTTTCATGTTTAGGGTTACTTTGAATTTTGTGTAACGGAATTTATAGTTAGTTATTTTGTCAAAAAAACTGTTTATGACATTTCCGAGATTGTGTTTGAGTACAAAATCTAATGGTTAATACGAAACGGCAAAATAATTCACTGAAAATCTTGTAAATTAGTTATGAACCGCTCCAATGAGTCTTTGCCGTTTCATGTTCTTTTTACCTCATATTTTTCATGTTTAGGGTTACTTTGAAATTTGTGTAACGGAATTTATAGTTATTTATTTTGTCAAAAAAAACTGTTTATGACATTTCTGAGATTGTGTTTGAGTAAAAGATCTAATGGTTAATACGAAACGGCAAAATAATTCACTGAAGATCTTGTAAATTAGTTCTGAATCTCTCCAATGAGTCTTCATGTTATGTAAACTCTATTATGCCGATTTGAATTTCTGAATCATTTTAGAACTGAGGATGTTGATACTAAAATAAATTACTGAAGTTCTTTTTTCACATTTTTCCTCCTCAGAAAGCCTATGTTTACTTTTAATGAATTTTGTGAGATTTTCATACATATTAAGGAAAATATACTTTTTAATCATAGATACATAGATTTTTGCAATTAAACAATTTTCTATAAATTTAAACCAATAAGAATTCAAAAAAGCTTAATAAATATTTATTGCCATGTCGAACACTGTTGCGCTTCATCGCCTCTCATCTCTTTTTCCTAAAATGAAAAAGTGTCAAAAAGTAAAAACATTTATCTATATTAAACTACTCATTGGTATCCCTTTTTGCACCTCTCTATTTCACACTCTTAAATAAAAGGCATTTCTTATCTTAATAAATTGTTTTCCATGTAATTAGATTGTTACGAATAATTAAACTTAAATTAATCAGTTAATAACTTATCTCTTCCTTTATATGTGCTCTTAGTGTTGACGAAATATTAATGAGTAGAATAAATATGATCTCTCGAGTCAATCCAAAACCCCACCTTACTTAATTTGCCCAACCAATGTCAACAAAATGAGAAAAAGAAGTACTTAATCAATCTATCTCGTTTAATAGAAATAAAACACTTCGCAAAGTTACGTTAAAATTACCACATTATATGGATTTTATGATTATTCCATTTTAAATTTAGTTTAGGAATGCAAATTCAACTAATCTGAATTAATTAGATACCAAACAAAATGGGAATGAACGTAGACAAAAGTAACAATTCAGACCCAAACAGGTACAAAGTTCAATGGTCAATATGCATTTATCTCCCTTTTGTATTTTTCTCTCTAGTTTTACGTTTTACAATATATATTAACTAATAATTATACTAAGATTTTTTTGTTAAAATAATAATTATACTAAGATGCACACCAAAAGGTAGGTTAAGAGGCTAATATAAAATGTGAGAGTAGTTTTGCTATTTTCTCTTACCCTATCAAACCTAAATTTCTCTCTCGAGCATCATCAATTTCTTCATCATCATCATATCATTGTTGCACCATCATGTCTTCCTCAAACAAAAATTGGCCAAGCATGTTCAAATCCAAACCCTGCAATCGTACTCCATCATACGGACACTACTCTAATTGTAACATTTCTTCTCCCTTTTCGTCAGGTATTCACATTTCATATCATCTACTACTAGTTTTTGGTTCTTGTGTTAATTTCATACAAAAGTATTTTGTTAGTTACATAAGAACTTTATATATAAGAAATAGATGATGAAGAAACAATTTTTTGAAAAATACTATATCGGTTCTTATCATGAAATCAACACACACACTACTTCACCATCGAAACAAGCCATATATTATGATGTTTATATATATGCTAAGACATGCATGATGATTTGTAAACGATTTGTGAGCCAGATCGTGTACCAGATCCTAAGCCGAGATGGAACCCTAAACCGGAGCAAATTCGGATACTCGAATCAATCTTCAATTCGGGTACTGTCAACCCACCAAGAGACGAGATTCAAAGGATCCGGATCCGACTTCAAGAATACGGCCAAATCGGTGACGCAAACGTGTTCTACTGGTTTCAAAACCGGAAATCACGAGCAAAACACAAGCTTCGTGTTCTTCAGAATAACTTTAAGTCGTCGAAGAAGGACAAGATTGTTAGCCCTAGCAATGATGCTGATTCTTGTCTTGGTTTGGTTAACCGAGAAACCGGTTTATCCCCCGTTCAAAACAATGATTTGGTGATAACTGAACCGGCTGGTTTTCTATTTCCGGTTCAGAATGATTCGAGCATGACTCATGCACGGTTTGGTTTTGGTGATTTTGTTGTGCCGGTTGTAACGGAAGACTCCGCCGTTAATAAGGGCGTTAATTTGGAGACTCCCGAGATCAGTTTTGACGGCGGAGATGGATACGGCGGCGGTGAAAATGGTTATTCTTCTTCCATTTCGGTTCCTGTTACTACTGTTCCATTTACCTTCAATCAATCACTAGGTATAATCCAATCAGCCTATATCTATTAATGTGTATATATGTAATTATATAATAATATAAGTAGTCATTTTTTTATTTTTTTACATTGCGGAGATTTTGTTTCTCCGGTGAGTTTGACGGTGTTTATCAACAACATTCCTTACGAAGTGGTGGCCGGATTATTCAACGTAAGAGAAGCTTTTGGAAAGATATATGGTAAGTAAATAATTTAATAACCTTTTTTTGACCGAGTAACGCATGCATGTACGTGTTTTATGGAAATGCGTTTTGGTCTTTAGATTTGACCATTACTGTTAATTTCCTGAAAGATTTACTCTTTTTTCTTGGTGTAAATTTATATTTGTGTACCAGGAGATGTAGTGTTACCCGGTGGTGGAGATTGCGGAGATTTTGTTTCTCCGGTGAGTTTACGGTGTTTATCAACAACATTCCTTACGAAGTGGTGGCCGGATTATTCAACGTAAGAGAAGCTTTTGGAAACGACGCCGTGTTGATCAACTCCTTTGGGCAGCCTATTCTTACAGATGAGTTTGGAGTTACATTTCAACCTCTCCAAAACGGCGCTGTTTATTATCTTGTGAGTTTTTACTCCTTTGCTTTGACATGTTTATTATTATGAAAATTTGAAAATGAATGGTTACTTCTTTTATTTTTATTTTTGTTTTAGAATTTCTCAAAGCGTTTGTTTGTCTGATTTTGCAGATTTAGAAGATGTTGAAGAGGAGCTGAGATTTTATGGATGCAAACTATAATAAGGGATTTCTTCGATACCAATTATTTCGTTTCACATATCCTCTAGTTTCTGTAATACTTGCAGGATCTTACATTTTCGAGATTATTAAATTTCAAAAACAAAACAAAACTTGGAACTTAATACAGATTGACTAAAGGTTGTTCCCAATGTACTTAATTTTTGATGATATTTTTTGAGCAAATTCCTATTTTACTCAATTCACTGTATTTGATAATTAGTAGAGAAAATATTTTCTCCTATCTAATTGATAATTAACAGTGTCTGTGTATCAAACACATTATTATTTTGGTCGTACATGTTTTCAAACACAATGTTTATCAAACAACGCGTCTGATTCTTATATAGTCATCAAACACAATGTTTATTTACAATAGACATTTGCCAAAATAAAAGCTCAAAATAGAGAAAAATACATATTCAATTCTAAGTTTTCATATAATGTAGTTCTTATTTATTAGTCCATACAACATTAGATTAATATTCCATACAACATTAGATTAATATTTATTTTTTCGTTTGACTCAAATATCTTTAACATATCTTCCTTATAAAACTCCAATTGGTCACTTACCTTGAACATGCGTTGATATTGTTTTTTGATAAAGTTGAACATGCATTCTTCACCAGTCACTGGTGTCCGAAAGGTCAATACTTATGTATTAATAGAAAGTTCAAAGACATATGTCTGCATACAAATCATAGTGCATTTTTGAATAAAGTGCTTTGAAAATTTGAGTCGGTTTTATTCTAAATTGGATTGAAAACAAAAATTACATACAAATTCAGAAGTAACTAATCGCTATGTTCAGGAGTTTCCTAATCGGAATAATGTGTGTGGTTTTAATCAAAAGACACGTAGAAACTGTAAATATATCAAAGAAAAGTTAAGACGAATATGTATCATTTTCAATAAGTATGTATTAACAGAAAGTTTAAAGACGAATATGTATTATGTATATACGTCACAGTGCATTTTTGATTAAAGTGCTTTGAAAATTTGAGTCAGTTTCATTCTAAATAGGATAAAGAAACGAATTGCATACAATTTAAGAAGTACGTAACCAATCGGTGCATGAGTTTCCTAATCGGAAAAACTTGTGGTTTTAATCAGAAGACACGTAGAATTTAGTATCTATCGACGACTTGCGAAAGAAACGACATGAGCTAATGCGTTTTCCCTAGCTACTGGAGCTAAATCTATCTATAAATAGTAGAGGAAGCATTAACAAGAACGAAGAGCAAGAACAAATACAGAGATAGATTTAAAGATCAAAGAAAGAAAGAAAAACACAAGAGAGAGAAAAAAATATGGAGGATATTATAGAGGACTATGAAAAGAAGAAGAAGGAGTATGAGGCTGCCTTGGCTAACATTGTAGAGATTGATAACAAACTCGATCGTCTCACTGAAGAATTGGAAAAGGAGAAAGAGAATTTGAAGGTAAATGTTCTCTTTAATCTATAGATATTTCTCTTCTTTTGTCTACAAAACATTAATCACATTTTTCGTAAACTTTAGCGTTTAAAGGAGGAATTGGATGAGATTGCGAAAAACTTCCATGTTGTGAAAGCTGACGTAAGTGGTGTTTATACATGCACTCTTTATATATTTATATTTTGCAATTCATTTTTTTTCTTTCTTTCTAAAAACTGTTCAAATTCTTCGGTGCAATTTAGATTTTGAAGGAAATTGCTGAAAAGAAAAGCAAGGAGAAGTAAAAAGTCTGTGGAGAACAACTGAACGAGGCTTTCTTGATGTCTCTGAGACTCTGATAATAGTTATAGTAAGAAAAATAATAATATAATCAGTAGTATAGATCTTGTGACAAAAAAAAAAAAAAAAAAAAAAAAAAAAAAAAAAATCAGTAGTATAGATCAGAATTACTAGATGTGATCAATATTTGTCGTTTGTTTCTTCCTACGAAAATTATATGAAATAACTTGGGTCATCTGTAATAATGGAAGGAAGTCATGTTGATGTTGTTAAAGTTTGTCAATCGACTTATAATTTATTAAAGTTTTTAATGATAACTAATATTATTTTGATATATTCATCGACAATTTCTTTATTTTATTTAATTTTGTTAAAGTATTCATCTGTTTATTAAGTCTTAAACTCTGAAAAGATAATGAATTTCTTTATCATAGTAAAAGATAATATTATTCTTAGTATTGAATTTAATTACAAATACCAACTATTGATTGATGTCATCCGAATATGATATTAGTTTCTTATTATTGTCAGCCGAATATGGCTATTACCTCTAGTTTACGTCATGTTCATTACGTTTTGAAATCTCATTGCTTCGTGTATATAGTCCTTTATTTCATGTGATCTCAACTAAACTATCTATATTGGATTAAAACTAAAGAAAAATGGACAAGTAAAGAGTTTCAAACTGATTGATCTTTTGTTCCTTGAGATTCTTTTTTAAGTTACTTTTATAACTATTATGGGTAACGCGCTTATATGTTTATACTATATACAGGCAACTTTATAGTATGCAATGCATACGTCTGAATATTTTCTTGCCTTTTTGTATATTTCAGTTCAAATCTCATTTTGTATATTCTTCGGTCGATATTAGCTGTAAATTGTAATAAGAGACGCGTGGCAAATGGTAGATTGGTACATGAAAATAACTATATATATAAAGTGAGGTATTTGGTGCTCTAACTACTTTATCTATATTTCCTTGATCATCATCATTTCAATATTTTCCATAATCATCTTCACTATCCATCATGTCGTCGTCTAGCTCAAACAAGAACCATAGAGAATATTTAATATGAGTAGCTTTATGTGAAGTTTCTTCTTAATAAATATAAATTAATTTTGGTAATTATAGTAATTATAGTTATTACCAAAATTTAAAAATTTAAAATTTAAAATTATAGTTATTATAGGTTTTTTGGTAATTATAGTTATTCAAAATTTAACGACCGATACGTAACTGATAAGTAGTTTATAAATTCCATCGTCCAAGGTTTGAGAAGAAAATCAATGCGACAAAGAATAATTTCCCGTCTATGTAACACGTCTCTCGGATTTTATATATGGTTCTTGATACATATAAAAAAGCGAGACTTTTTAACAAAATTGAGCTAACTAATCTTGTCAAAGAGTATAAAACCGAACCACCATAATCAACTAACTATTGCGAAACTAGTCGTAAGAGTAGGATTCCTTTCCAAGAGACTTTCGAATATTGATAATAAGAAAAGGAAAGACGAGAACTTAAAATGTATTTAAGATCGAGAGATCCCAACGATACTGAGTTAACAATAGCAAAGGTTTTTATGGAATTTGTATCAGTCGAGAAAAGAACAAAGTAGAAACATAACACATCTTAATTGCATAAACTTGACGAGTCTTTCTTTTTTACTACTATGGTAGGTAGGTAGGATTTTTACCGAGTCATCACTTCTTACTTGCGAGAATCGACCTTCTTCGCGTCTCTCGCTACAATAAAAAACAGAGACACATTATAAACATCAGAGACATGAGGACAAGAATCGCAAAAGGGTGTTGTTGTGTTTCGAGGTTTGTACCTGCTTTTTCCTCTTCTCGCTTCTTTGCAGCTTCTTCTCTCTGTTGGCGAATCAGAGCCAAACGATCTGTACACACACATACAGAGTGAGAATCAGAATAACATAAACACATTTGTGAAACATAAATATAGAGAGAGAGAGAGATAAATGGTTGTTTACCCAAATCCTTCCTTGCTTGTTCGGTTTTGCCTTGCTCCTGCAACCTCATGTATCGCTCATGAGCTCGCTGCTTCTCTAGCTCCTCTCTGCATATTAAGCCAAAGACAATGGTAATGGAACTGATTAATAAGATGTTGAATCATTTAAGAGAGATAAGAACGTTCAGTGGTCAACAAACCTTTCACGCCTTGAGAGTTCAGTGGTCTTTGTAGCCTAATGGGAAGAACAGACACACAAAAAGAAAAACCCAAACGTTATGAGACAAACACAACTGCAGATTTTTACAGAATCTGACTATACAGAGAGCTTACATCAAGGTCTTTAGCTTTTAAGGTCTTTGGTTTTGCTCTGTTAGGGTTATCAACTTCGATGAGAGCTTCATGACCTTTCTTCTTGACCTGATAGTATATACCAAGTAAAGATGAATTCTGCAACAACAATGGTAATAGATGAAAGACACACAAAAGATTCAAAGGTTTTTTCACTCACATCAGATTCATCTTCGGATTCTTCTTCAGATTCCTCCTCAGACTCGTCTTCGATATCCTCTTCATACTCAGCTTCTTTCTGGTAATTAATTTCATCAACAGGCCAAATGATTCACCACACAACATCAACAAAACATATCAAACTTGTAAAGAGAATAGTACCTGCTTGAAAGACTTGGGACGTGCAGCAGAAGTGCCAGCAACTACAAACACCCACACACACACACACATAACAAGGTTAAAAATCTAATATCCATCCACATCAATCTTGAAATTTACATCCGAAATATTGTTACACTAAATTGAACACATCTGATTCTTAAGCAAATCCTATGAACATAGGCCAGAGAGATTTTACACAATGATTCACTCAAATCATCCAATTACACAAAGGCAAAGCAATTCTAAGGTCTAGACTATAGATACTGCAATTTCAAAATGGGCTAAATCGAGGAAACGAGCCAAGACCGGGTTATACAAACACGAAAACTGATTCAAGCTCGAAACAACACAGCAGCAACAACATTTTCACACATGAAATCGATAAATCGAGCGAAACAACTTAGGGGAAATATGAATATTCCAGAAATCCAAACAAACGCTAAATCTATCTACCAAATCGAAACCGTGTGGGAGATTGTATGATTATCGAACTCAACATCCTAAGCGCGATTGAGAAGTTTTTAGAAACCCTTACGTATATCAGCTGCACTGGAGAATCGGCGTTGGCCGGTGGGTTTACCCTTGAACTTGCCTCTTCCCATGGTTTCAAAACTCAAATTCCGAAAGAGAACAAATCAAAAATTGAGAGAAAAAAACGAAACCAGGAAATTTGATTCTTGACGAAAGAAAATGAATCGATTCGAAGATTGGATTCTTTTGTAGTGGAGGATCTCGTCCTCTCTTCCGGTCACGCGACTAATAGAGACGAAAACCCTAAAGCTTTTGGGGATTCTTTCTTTGTGTTTGAGTGGTAAATTCTGTTTTGATCCTCTGTTTCACGGTGTACTAAACACACAAGTAGATCGAACGGTCATTACTCATTAGCTCGTTCTCATGTTGACTGGTTGAAAACGACACCGTTGTCGAATAAAAGTCGGACTCCAAATCTCACATCATGTATTTCAGCAAGTCGGTTTCTTAACCAAATCTCTTTTGCCCATTTGAAATTTTTCTTATCGTGAAATCAAATGTTTGTAAAGAAAAAAGAAACTTGAAGAAAATAATATTGGAGCTGAAATGATAAATCTAAACGTGAAGTTATAATTAAGTGGGGGTTAATGCGAGGTTGTTGCCTTTTTGGTGATAATGATTGTGATGAGATAAAGAATGGTTGGTGATGAAGTTTCTGAAGACGATGAGAGTGACATAATCTATTTGCGTCAGATAAGACTTAGTATAGTGCTTTGGAGAAGCTGCGAGACATGAAAATTACATTTTCGAAAATGTAACAAAAAGTGTTGAAAATTACTTAAAAACGTTTGGAAATACAAATTGTTCAGCATGATAAGAAAATACAAACATTGTGGAAATACAAATCACAACTCAAATCTTGTTCTTCCTCAAAAGAAAATCACAACTCAAATCTTGTTTATCAAGATAGGAACTTACAAGACTTGAAGGGTCAAAGTAAAAACCTATGAACAAGCTGCAAAAGACTGGTGCTACACACCTGTCCTTGACACTGCAACATGACTCCATGATCTCGAGCTAGAACCAGATCACACAAACGATAGAAAAGTTAAGTAAAATGTATCAAATTATGTAGCTTTCATGAGTCCATGACTGAATGCGAGAGAAAAACAGTAAGCTTAGACTCTCTTATGTTATAAAATGTATCAACCAGTCTCAAACGCTACATGGTTAGCGAGTCTTCCCAATCAACAAAGAAAAAGAAAAAGCAAAGCAACAAAACTTACCAAATTCAACCAATGATTTAAACTTCTTCTCCTTCGTTCTTTCTTCCTCAAACTTAGAGAACTCAAAACTGATTATACATTTCTAGAAAGCAAATACCACATCCAACAACTCTTTCTCAATAGTAGCGTACATACTATGTGCATCATCTAATGTGCGGCTTGCATAGTAGATAAATTATCTACTAATCATGTCTCAGTGACTCTATTCTTACTTTTCTCAAAAGACTGGTAATGGAAAATCACCATTAGACACATATTTGGAAGGGCCTGTCTTAGGTATGATTTCATTTAAAAACATGAATATCATAGAGTATTAAAAAAACAATTCAAGTCGCTATAAAGAGCTGTGGTCCATAGCTTTAGATGGCATATGAATCGTCATTCAACATAGGTAGTGGTGTTCTTAACAAATATAGGAGTTGACTCTTGCCTACAAATGTGCAAGCTTTAATATGTGCAAGGAATTGGTCTCGTGGTTTTCAAAAAATTGGTAAGAATTCTGTTTTTTTTCATGCATATTGTAAGTGATGAGTTCTAAGTTCTAACTACATTGATTTACATATTTAAGGTGGTGAGTTTGAGTCTCGTGGGGGAGAAAGAGAAAGATGGTAGTAAGAATTGAGTAACAAGTCAGGTAAATGCCAAAAACTTTTTCATGTTATGAGATCATCACTAATGGAAACGTAATCAAGATAATGTTTGTGATGTTCTGAGATTAGATTTTTTTTTTTTTTTTTTTAGTTAAAGGGTTTTCTCTGAGATTAGAATCGTGGTTTGTTGACATCAATTTTGCTCTTGGAACATAAGAAGAGCACACAAGTTTGCCACCAGATACCGAATAATTCGAAAATATTCCGGTGTTGACAGATTTGAAGTATCTGTCTTCTCTAAAAATGTAAGCTATTTGGTAGCGCAAGGCCTTAACGTCGTCATATCTATATTATAATAAGAGAATATCACTCTTCATATGAGTGACACCTCACCAAAAACAAGTTCACTCTTAAACTGCCACGTGGCATCTTTTAATAAAAAAAAAGTTTACACATGCATTAAACTCAAACGAACTGAAATGATGAGAAGACTAAACGTTGCCAAGAGAAAAATCAATCAATTATTGGTTGATAGTACTATCAGAAAAAGAAAAAAGAGAGATATTGTGTAAATATTAGTACTCTACCATTGCTTCTAATCTCCATTCCAAACCCACCGATCCTGTTCTCAGGAAAAAATAGAGGAAAATGAGGAAAAAAACAAAACTTTATGTTGTATAACATAGATATGTAAAATCATAATTGTGTAAAATCCCGATGGTTGAAAATACCCATTAAGAGATAGCAAAAAAAAAAGAAAATTTTTACTGTAACATGATACAAAGAGACGATTAACAAAATCAGGGAAAATGATCGGACACCATATGTATTCAGCGATGATTTTCTTGGTGTCTGAGAGATCTAAGTTTAAGAGATCTGAGAGTGGAGACATGGTCTCTGTGTTCGAAGAGAGGAAGAAGACGATCGAATTAACCAATCACAGAAGAGAGAGAGAACCCGAAGGACTGAGGAAGGAGAAGAAGACTAGAGAGACCGATGGGATTGATAGGATGGTGAAGGAGGAATCTATTGCGGTAACTGAGACCGAAGTCGACGGCATCGCCAAAGACATGTGGTGGTGGAACAATGAGGCGGATGTGGGATCGTCGGAGAAATCCTCCGGCGGAAGATCAAGGTGTCAAAACGGAGGGGAGGAACAAAAGACGCCGTGTGGCACTCATTTTTCTTTTCTTCCACTTTGACCTAATGGGCTCAGTATTGGTTTCTTTATTTGGGCCTCATAATCTTTTTTTTGATATAAATGCTGTGTATAATCAAATATTTAAATGGTGTGTATTTAAATAGTGTGTAAATGTTGTGAATTTGTGATTCAAATTTCTACTTCTCGATGGACAATGGACTTAATTAGATTTCCCTGATAATTATTTCACCATTTTTTGCTCTCAAAATAAAGATTACCATTTTTGAATATTTGATTTAAGAAAAATAAGAAATAATATATAAAATTACTTAAAAATGGTTGAAAATTAATATAAAAATTCAGATACAAGGGACAAGATCATAATTTAGGGTTTGAGATTTTAGTTTTAGAATTTGAGATTTTGGATTAGGGATTTGGGGGTCGTGATTTTGAAAGTTAGATATGAATACTTTTGAAATTTATTTGTCAGTGTAGATTATGAATTTTAGATATATATAATTATTAATTATGTTTAGGGTTTAGAGTTTAAGATTTATGATATGATTTTATTTGAATTTTTTTAATAAGTGTTAACAAAATATAATCATTCTAGAAAAATATGTAATCGTGATGTAAGGGTAAGATTTTAGATTTTAGATATAAGAGTTTGGAATGGTTTTTAAACAAAATCATTTTGGAATTAATTCTGATTTTTTGGAATAAAAGTTTATAGTTTATGATTTCTGGTTTAACTTTAAAATTTTGGGTTTGCTTTTTTAGTTTAGGGTTTAGGATTAAGGAATAAGATTTTCAATATGATAAAATTAGCGACAATTAATTTGTGGTAAATGGAAAAAACATTTTAAGAAATTTGATTTTAGAGGAAATCAAGAGTAATATACATTTATCTTATTTCACCATGCGTTAATATATCTGAAAATTATAAGAGAAAATATTTACAAAGTTCAAATAACAATTAAAATACAAGTAACTAAACTTTGTAATAGTCACAATCCGCGCATCGCACGGGCTTAGCACTAGTATGTCTAAATCGAAAAGCACACCGACTTTCTTCTCCTCGTCAATGAAAAGCTCCTAGGCTGAAACTGAGTAGAAAATTTATTGGGTAAACCATTGATTAGACTCAAATCAAGTGTCAAAAAACTGCTCCAGGAGACCGCAATGGGCTCAACCTTAGTCGAAATCCAAATCTTTATGATCTGGGGAGTTTGGTAGGGCTTATATAACACAGCTAGCTTCTCATCTCTAACCCAAGATAGAGCCGCTGGATTCGGAAGTTTTAAACGGCAGAGGCAGACGCGGTCCGAAACTCTCTCTTGTAAAATCAAAACAGACTAAAAAGTCTTCTCCTCTTGTCGTTACCTCCTGACCGAAAAAATAAGTGTTTCCTTTCAAAGACACGCCTTCACGATAAGACGGTAAATCCCAGCTGGGGTCGACGTCAACAAACCTCCATGAATCAGTGCTAAAATCGTAGACATCGATGAGGTACACATTTTCGTCAAATCGTTCCAGTTTTTACAAGTAGATCGCACTACGCTTAGAGATATGTTAACGGAACCCTAGAAAAAATCTCCCATATCAAATCCAATGAAAGATCAGAGATTCTCGTCATTCTTTCTCAAGTTTCAAGTTTCCACCGGCGATGTTCTAATCGTTTTCCACCGGCGATGTCTCCGGTTTTAATGTGTCAACGTCGAAACACCTAACTGAAGAATCTCCCGATATGGGTTTCGGTTTCTTGGGCTTCTTTGGTTTCCAGTTCCAGTCGGTAAGAGAATTTTGAGCTAAACCGAACAAAAGTTTTAGTATACACTTTAGAACCGAACTAAACCAAAGTTTACTTGGGTGAGAAGAAAACGGATTAAGGAGACTCTTCTTATAGCGATTTTGGAAGCTTCTAAAGAGGAAACTTTCCTTCCTTCAGATATACATACAAATCAAGGTTTCTCTACATTATCTTATCTAAGATTGTCAACATACATATTAATTAGCATATCTACTCTGTTTGTTTCTCCTAAAACATCAAATACTACCGTCAAACCTAAAAGATCAAATCCTAAGTTTAACTGTAAATGCATATTCCCAATATGAATCTAGCAAGCGAGGATTCAGTGTTGCAGAAGTCAAAATGAATTCAAGAGTCACTTCAATATAAGGACCTTTATTTTGTTCCTAAAGAACAAAAAAAAAAAAAAAAAAAACTGGTCAAATTAGTTAAGCATCATGTTGAACTATGGACCTTAAGTACTTCCTCTACAAGACTACAATGCAAAATCAAGATAAAATGTACATCAAACACTAAACTAGGAAAATGTGATATCTCAACTAAGCTTTTGGTCAAAAAAATAGATCTCAATATAAAAAAAAAAAAAAAGCAGTCTTGTTTTGAGTTTCAACACAAGATAATGCAATAAACACAACAAAGTATTAAAAAAATGGACGATTAAACTTGGAACATAAGAAGAGCACACAAGTCCGACAGATTTTGAAACGAATTCTAAGTGGAGAGATTTGAAGTATCCATCGTCTCCAGCAATGTAAGCCATTTGGTTGCCACACGTTATTATATTAGATTACTTTTCAGTTTATTTCAATGAGCAGTCTTTTAATGAACAATATATCAGACTACACGCAATGGTTACTTAAATGGGTTTTTTTAAACATTAAATATGTTAAAAAAATTATCTTATATAATTAGGGAGTTGCTCTCTCCATTTGAGAGTGTCCACATCAGCACAAAAACATTAAATTGTATTTAAAATATTTAATAAATATATGACTATTCATATTTCTTTACATTTATTCATATTTAATAAAAATATACAAATAAATTGATTAATTAATAGAAAGTATGTGATAATTTGATGTTAAAAGTTATCAAAAAGTTGGAATATAAAATAGAGATGGAGTAAAGAAATATTCAACTTCAAATAGTATATATTTACTTTATTATTCAAAGGATTTATCCTACTTTAAAAATGTTAGAATGTGTTTACAAGTTAAAAAGTTGAATATAAATTAATTAAGACAATAGAAAGCTAATGAAACATTAGAGTTAGAGTTTGTTTTTCTAAACAAATAGAAATAGAGTTTTATATGTAAATTTAATTGTAGTGAAAAACAAGAATATGTTTACAAATTTTAACCTTCAGTCAAATGCATATACATATTTATAAATTTTAACCTTCAATCAAATACATATACATGTTTACCGTCTAATAGAAGTAAACATAATATTTATAACATGATAAAATTTTAGAAATAGAAAACTCGAGATAAAGCAGAGTGTTAATATCCTAATAAATTAAAATAAAAACAAATTATTCATATTTTTTAGTGTTAGTGGTTGAGTTAACTCAAAACATAACAAAAACATGAAAGTTAACACAAAACCATCATAATTCAAATCAACGAGTATAAATAAAATTAAACAGAAAAACTATCGTAAACAACCCCGCGCTTGCGCGGGGCTTCAAATCTAGTTATTTTAGTTAAAGAGATTTGGGAAGAAACTTGATAATTATGCAACAACATTGCACATACTCAAATGGGTTTCTTTAAAAGAAAAATTGAATTTTTGTAAAGTATTTATAAAATGATTAAGAACTATATGAAAATATGATGTAAACAGCATAATTATATATAGGCAAGCAAAATCAAAAAGAAAATGTAAGATCACAACAAAAAAGTAAGAAGGAAACATGAAGAGAAAAACAATGCTTACATCATCGGACTCTTGTTTCTTCATTTCTGCCTTCTTTCTTCTCTGCAGCTGCAGGAGCAGAGGAAGCACCATCACCGCTGGATGGAGAAGAAGCCGAAGCCGCAACAGCAACAGCACCAAAAGAAGCTCAATGCTCTATGCATCAACATTAGCACCAACTACACAACAAAACATATTACAACACCATCAATTTCACAATCAATTCATTTTCACTGCAACAACACTAACATTCTTACGAGACTGGAACTTAAGATAAGCCCAACTAAATTGACATTTCTCTTCATCAGAGTTTCCAAACTAATAAATGACATCACCAACAATGTTTTGCATTGAGTTAGATGACAAGGAACATATCAAGATCAAACTTGAAAATTTGATAAGCAATTGAAGAAAAATCTTAACCTCTACTTCCAGTAATCAATCTAAACTCTTACCACCAAGATAATCAAATGCAGAATAAGCAACACCATTTTCTTCAAGACAAAGAAACAGACAAGCAAACACTCTAGTCATATGCATCAACTAAGAGGTAAAACTTCTTGAAACTTGAATATTATATAACCACCGTAATGGATTTTAGGTTCATCAAACATGACATCAAAGAACACATGTAACCAAGAAAAACCAAAAGCTACCTCATGTAAACGACACATGAGTTTTTGTCTTCATACAAAAAACCAGAAGCTACCTCATGAGAATACAATAGGTTTTGTTGAATCTAAATTGTCAAGATTTCGATTATACCCATTTAAGTCACCACCATTATTGCAATTAGGCTATATAGACGATTGAATCGAAGAAAACTCAAACCATCACGGTAATAAAACAAGGAAGCAGATCTAATCAAGGAAGGAAATAACGAACCAATGAGACGATTAGAGATTTGGAGGAGAAGAACAGCTCCGTCGACAATGGAAGCCGACGACAAAAAAAAACACTAATTTCGGAGAAAATTTCCTCCTGAAGCCCCGAATAGCAGAAGCTTTCTCTTTCGGCAGCGTCGCTAAATTGTAAATCTCTCCTCCGACGAGTTACGTGGCTAGAGAAGGAGCTGATTCGCCGGTAAACGCGGTTTGTCTAAGAACTCAAAAGAACACAGAGTCCGTTCGGTCATGGCTCTAGAATCTCTGCTTTTTTCTCCTCTCTCTCTCTTTCTCTGTTTTTAAAAGGAGAAGAAGAGGGATGAGATGCTTTCGCCGGATCGGAGAGACGGTTTCACCGATCGGATTGATCGAGGAGAAAGAAGACGAAGAGAAGAATCGAAGAACAGAAAAAAAAATTAATACAAAACCCAAACAAAAAATATTTTCGCGGAGCGTTTTGTTGGTGACACGTGGCCGGAAGAACGTTTCTGCGCTTGTTCCGTGAGAGACCACTCTCAGACTTGGGCTTGCCACATCAGATATTTTGGTCATTTGTTATTTATTTTTGGGCTAAAGAAACGGTCCAAAGCTGTGCATGCACATGCTCTAGTGTCGCGGATATATATACAACAATATATCAGACTCTAGCATCTTTGCGTTTTCAACACCATTTCTATGAACGAAGCCCACGAATTTTGACGTAAACCGTACAAGGTTATAATGAAAGACAAATGAGGTAGGAAACGCCTCATATAATTATGACCTCCACAACACTGATCCGGATTCAAGCCTTCTGAATCCAAATATCTGTCCAGATTCGTATCCTGTAGAGCATTAACAATGTTACTCCAAAGCATATTAACACATGTGATCCTTTATGTATCAATCTTGTTCATGACTATATAAAACGCGTTTCCGGTAAAAATAGATAGAATCTTGCAAAAACGATGAAAATGTCATCATGGGCCTTCATAAATAAATAAATAAATCGATTACCAAAAGAAAAAAAATCGTAATTTTATAATTCAGAAATTAGAGATTGCAAATTTGCCGTGTCTTCTTCTACCTATGTTGTTAAAAAAAGGTAATACGGCGTCGTAATATTGAACAAGAAAATATCAGAGATTTGCTCGATTGCAATAAGCTCCTTTTGTTTTCCTCCCCAATTTTATCTCACCGTCGCATTATCTAGGGTTTTGTATTTTTGCTCTTCCTCGACGAATCGGTCTCGCAAAATCACAGGTTTTGTTTATATCTGAATTCACTATTTTCTTCATAATTTCCCCTTGGACCGTTTCCAAACTTTAATCTTCGGGCTAGCTTTCCCCCAAAGTCTGTGAGTTTTCATTGTTCGTCCAAATCAGCGTAAATTCTCGAGTCTTGCTTCTGAATTTCATTGAATTTGGAGATTTTCAAGGTATAGATTTTCGATTCATTAGATCGTATAGCAATTACTGAGATTCAGTGAAGTTAATTTCTTCTGGTTCTTTTTTCTCAATTCGTCGATTTATTGAATTGTTACAAAAGTATTGATTGGTTTTCGAATTCACCGTAGATTCATTAGATCGTAATTTCTTTGAAGTTGTGAATCTTCTGCGTACCTTTTTCTCAATTCAATTTGGTGTTTTTGGTGAAAGTATTGATTTTTTTTTTTTTTTTTTTTTTTTCCCAATTCGCTGTTGATTTTGAAGGCTTAAACAATGGGGAAGAGGAAGTCAAGAGCAAAGCCAGCTCCAACGAAGCGAATGGACAAGCTTGACACAGTCTTTAGTTGTCCTTTCTGCAACCACGGCTCTAGTGTTGAATGCATCATGTAAGATTCTTTCACCTTCATGAATCACAAATTGAGTTATATGAGCTAATACATGGTGTGTTATTCTTCCAGTAATATGAAGGAACTGATTGGTCAAGCAGTTTGTAGAATCTGTGAAGAAAGCTTTAGCACTACTATCACAGGTTTTGATTTTGATAACTTTTCGTTTAAGAAATCTGTTTTGCAATTAACATTCTGATCATTTTGTTTTGTGGGCTCTGTTTCTTGCAGCTTTGACTGAAGCTATAGACATGTAAGTTACAAATCTTTTGTTTTTCCGCTTCGTTTCTTGTTTCACTCCGTTTTCTTAACCTATTGAGTTTGCTTTTAAATGTAATGCAGCTATAGCGAATGGATCGATGAGTGCGAGCGGGTTAATACCGTGGAAGATGATGTTGAGCAAGAAGAAGAAGAAGAGGAAGAAGAAATAATAGAGGAAGAGGAAGAAGAGGAAGAAGAAGAGGATGAAGATGAACGTGTCTCTGTCAAAAGGAAGTTCAACTACAGAGACTAAAACAAAAGTTCCCTTATGTTGTAATATCTTATCTATCGTTGGAATTCGTAAGCCTTGCCAAATCGGTAACGTTTATTGAAATCGAAAAACTGAATCTCTTTCCTTAGTTGTTGTTGTTATCTATCATGTTCGGTTGTTTCTTTTTACATTTGGTGAGTCACTAGCTTCAGCTTTGTACACGTAAAACCTAACAACGACCAAGAAGAAGATGAAGTTGACCAAACTTAGAACCGCGAAGAGCATGTAGTAGTAATCCAACCTTGACTCGTTCAGGTTGTTTAGAATCCATCCTCGTCCTCGTTCCTTGGTTATCCGAGACACCGTCGAGAGCAGAAAGCTGCTCATGAAGTTCCCGAGGGCTAGACTCGTGGTTTGGTACGATGTCCCGAGGCTTTTCATACTCTCGGGTGCTTGGTCGTAGAAAAACTCGAGCTTTGCTACTTCTAAGAAAGCATCAGCCAAACCCATCAGCACAAACTGCGGAAGCAGGACGAAGATGGTTAAAGGAAGCGGTACAACGGTCTGGTGGATTAGCCCGTTTTCAGCGGCGACCTTGAGCCTATACCGTTCGGTTATCGACGCGATGATCATGATCAAGATGTGAAGGATCATACCGATTCCCATCCGTTGGAGCAGTGTGATGCCTCTCGAGTTTCCGGTTAGCTTTCTCGCGAGTCTGACGAAGATACGGTCGTATATGACTATGGAGACGAGCATCGAGAAGGTCGTGAAGCCTAGGAGACTTGCCGGAGGAATGCTGAAGTTGTTGGTGATGTGACGGTTTAGGTTGACTCCTTGTTTGATGAACAAAGTGTTGACTTGAGCGAACACCATGCTTGGGATTATTGTTACGAAAAAGACGAGTAACATTCTTAACATTTGTTTTGTTTCTTCGACTTGTGTTGTAGTGCATAGGCTCCATTTTTGAGTTGGTCCGGTTTTGAGTGAGGCTCTGTCTAAGAATCTGCAACACAACAATCTTTGGTAAATATGATATTGAACCGAAACGAACCAAACCAAACCGGACGGATTATATATACATTCATTACCTTAGACTTTGAGTAGGTTGGATTGGGAGTGCTCCTTTGCTCTCATATTCCAATGAAGAGAGCTCATGGAAGCGTGTGGGATCATCACACGACGACATAGACTCGTGACGTTTGCGAAATGAGGCCACAATGACTCGAGCCATCTTGGTAAACGGGCTTCCCGTTGGGCGTTTATGGCGGTAGAACGGAGTGCCCATCAAGAATATAGCAATGGAGATAGCAAGGCCCATTGTTGGAAGCCCATAACCTAAGGCCCATCCTACATTATCTTGAACGTAAACAAGAACTGTTGTGGCAAAGAGAGTGCCAAAGAAGATACTAAACATCCACCAGTTGAAGAATGAATGTTTATGAGTCTTCTCCTTTGGATCGAATTCGTCGAATTGATCGGCTCCTATTGTGGAGATGTTCGGTTTTGTGCCTCCTGTGCCGATTGCTAATGTGTATAACGCTCCAAAGAAAACCGCTAATTGTAAAACCGAGGCTTTTTGGCAGTCTTCAACGTTAGTTGTTGTACATTTTGGTGGCTTAAGGTTTGGTAGAGATACTGATAATGTCAGCGTTGCCATTCCCTGTAAATTGATATATAACTTAACCGGTCAAGATCAATTTGAAAGTTTGTTGATGATTGAACCGCCACCAGTCAACGTTGTATACTTAATCTTGAAGGTTAAAACCGTATGTTTGGATTCAGGTCTTCTTTATAAAAAAATAAAAAGAAAACATTGGATTATAGTCGACCTCAGTCTTTATGGTTTTTCTTTAATAAAATATGTATAGCTTTTAGATTAAGGCAATTAGTTATAGAAAAAAAAAGACTGATCTTTCTAAAGATCATGCATTGACCGAAATCTATACGTGAATCCAACTATATATAGTGAAGCTTAAGCATTGCACGTTTGTCTCAATACTATAGATTATGAATGATTCTTGGGATTTATTTGTAATTACATTTTTCCCCCAAACATCAGAGTTTTCAATGAGAAATGTTTTTGTTGTGGTTTTAACGAAAAGGTTTTAGGGGTTATTTAAAATTCACTTATGTCGTTTTTCATTTTTTTTTAGTTTCTTTTCAAAAACATCGAGAACAGTAACATAAAGAACTAAATCATATCAATGTCAAAGAAAAAAAAAACAACTAAATCATATAAATGTCCTGAATAATTCTCTACAAAAAGTCTTGCCTTATTATTATCAAGCTATTCAATACTTTTAGTTTAAACAGAGAAAATGTACATACCAGTAAATAAATAACGGAAGAGATGACAAAAGTGATGTAGCGACCGAGATGAGCATCAGCAACATAAGCACCCAAGATTGGAGTCAGCCAACTGGTCCCAACCCAATTGGTCACATTGTTAGACGACTCGACCGTGCCTTGGTGCAATTTTGTGGTCATGAATATCACTAGATTGCTCGATATCCCATAATAAGCCATTCTTTCAAATGCCTCGTACACTAATCACATAAACATTCCAAACATCAATTAACTCATCACATAAACATAATTAATCAGGTAAACATATAGATATCTACAAATTAGGGGAAAATATTCGAAAAAAATATATATACCAACGACGAAGGAGCAAGCTTTCCAACGACCTCTTTGGGATCTTCGGACAGGATTGCCTCGAAGATCAACAGTTCCATCTTTTGTGTAATCATCTCCTACCTCTTCTACTGTCATTGCCTCTCTCTCTCTCTCTTTCTATCTGTTTTTCTTTTTCTTTTTGTGTGTGTGTGTATGTGTTTGTTTGATTGTTTCTGTGAATCTTTATCTGTAGAGCGTTGGTACTTTGGTCTCATGTATATATAGAATGACGAAATGAGGGAATGAGTCATACAGCTAATGATAACCATTAGATTTTAACTAGATTTTAACTTGATTACTGATATATCCATGAACGTGTCACATTTCCTTATATAAACTTTTTCTATACTCATTTTTAACTATAATGTTAAGATTTGTATAAGATCCGCTGACTAGTATTATCAGTTTCTATTTTCTTTATTGTGGACATCTATCTTGTAAATCTTTCAAAGACAGCCGAGAATTTATATATTTATTTGTTCACAGTTGTTTAGTAACAACTTGTTACATGTTTATTATGCTTTATTTTGTCATAGAACAAAGAAATAAAGAAATGGGCTGTTATAAATATTTAAATATATTTTTTGTTGACAGTAATGCATATTACTGGATTAAAGATAACTAGATTAACTGTTGCACGATGTGTGGTTTGTTTAAACATTTTTTGACTTGTTAATACAGCTTGATTTCAATATATAACATCAAATTTTCTTAAATTTATATACTAATTATAGTATACCAGTAGGTTAAGAATCAAATAATTTGAAAAAAAAATAGATGATGAGGGGAGGCACTCATACGAAGAAATATATTTTTATATTAATTCTAATTTTCTTACAAAAAGAAAATAGTTGATGTGGTGACTCTATAGTAGGAGAGTCTTTTGGTATCATATTTCATATACTGTATGTACATCATTTAAATTCAGAGTGTGTGCAGTAATTTAAATTATAAAAAATGTATTTGTGTGTGTGCATGTCTCTGTGACAATCATATAAACTTATATTCAAATGACTACAATTGATATTACTATAGATTTTAGAATAATTTTTAGTTTCTTAAGACAATGTAACTGTGAAGAATATCTCCAATCGCAAATGAGATTGGACATTTACCAATATATAAGTGATATAGATCAATCCGTTCATTGTCAATTGATTTTGAACTTCAAACCCATGTAATTTACTTCCATATATAATTACACTAAAAGGAATCAGAAAAAAAAAAAAAAACTTTATAGTATAACCTTTTTTGGCAAATAAAATTTATTAGATAACTTTATAGTATAACTGTCTTTAAACTATTCATTCTCTTTGACATCCATTACCTTCGTTTCCTCCTCTTTTACATCCACTGAATCAGTAACCTCAGCTCTATAGACATAAAACCTAACCACGACCAAGAACAAGACGAAGTTAACCAAATTTAGAACCGCAAAGAACAAGTAATAATGATCCAACCTAGACTCATTAAGATTGTTCAAAATCCATCCTCTTCCTCGTTTCTTCGTTATCTCAGAAACCGTGGACAACACGAAACTGCTCATGAAGTTCCCAACCGCTAAACTTGTGGTCGAATATGATGTCCCGAGACTTTTCATGCTCTCAGGAGCTTGATCATAGAAAAATTCGAGCTTTGCAACTTCCAAGAAAGCATCAGCCATACCCATTAACACGAATTGAGGAAGCAAAGCAAAGATCGTCAAGGGTAGTTTTACTCCAGTTTGGTGGACAAGTCCATGCTCAGCAGCGATTTGAAGTCGATACCTGTTACAAAACAAGTGTAAGTAAACTAATGCAATAAAGTATTATGTTACTAATTAGTGACATGGCATTATATAATGAGATCATACCATTTGTCAATATATTACGTTTTAGATGAAACTCAAAATTATAGTCTTGCTCAATATTTATAAAGTTTAATGTATTAGTTTTTATTTAAAATCAATACTATAGATGAAAGCTAATTTTTACAATACCTCTCCGTGACTGATGAAACGATCATGATGACAATGTGGAAGATAAGACCAATTCCCATTCGTTGAAGCAAAGTGATGCCTCTTGGATTTCCGGTGAATTTTCGGGTTAGCTTGACAAAGACTTGATCATACAAGACTATGGAAATGAGCATCGATAGTGTGGTGAAGCCACCGAGGCTCGCTGGTGGGATGCTGAAACTTCCGGTGATCTTCCGGTCTAAAGTGGTTCCTTGTTTGACAAACAAAGTGTTGATTTGAGCGATCATCATGCTTGGTACGAAAGTTATGAACAAGACAGGTAACATTCTCAACATTTGTTTTGTTTCTTCGACTTCTGTGATAGTACAAAGATTCCATTTACTTGTTGTTCCTGTTTTGAGTGAAGCTTTGTCTAAGAATCTGTAGCATATGTAGTTACAGATTTGTTAGGTATGTACTTTATGATAAAGTTGGGATATTCTAATATTTAACAGAATTAATATATATCCAAAATGAATTAAAATCGAAATGGGACTCTTCTTAATTATATAGTACATTTTCTTAAAAATCTAAGTTCTAAATTAAATTGATAACCCAAAATCTTTAAAAAATTGTTTAACCTACATTATAATTATTTTCAACGTACTATTAAACTAAAATATTTTGTTAATTACCAAAAAAAAACTAAAATATTTTGTTTTCAGTATTTTTTATAGAAAATCGAACTAAATCTTGATCAAACTGTAACTAAACCTAAAACTTTTTCTAGACTTACCGTAGACTTGGAGTGGGGTGGATCGGAAAAGCGCCTTTCTTCTCATATTCCGGTGAAGGCAGCTCATGGAAGCGCGTGAGGTCACGCGTCATCGGTGCCTTGGCTTTACGAAATGAAGCCACAATGACTCGAGCCATCTTCGTGAAAGGGCTTCCCGTAGGGAGCTTATGGCGGTAAAATGGAGTGCCCACCAAGAAAATAGAAATGGAAATAGCAAGACCTATTGTTGGAAGTCCATAACCTAAAGCCCATCCGACATTATCTTGAACATAGACAAGAACAGTGTTGGCGAAAAGAGTGCCAAAGAAGATACTAAACATCCACCAGTTGAAGAACGATAGTTTTTGAGTCTTCTCCTTTGGATCGAACACGTCGAATTGATCGGCTCCTATTGTTGATATGTTCGGTTTTGTACCACCAGTGCCGATTGCTAATGTGTATAATGCTCCGAAGAAAACAGCTAACTGTAAAACCGAAGCCTTCTTGCAATCTTGAGGATTGGTTGTGGAACATTCAGGTGGTTTAATTCCCGGTATGGACACTGATAATGTTAATACTAGCATTCCCTGAAATTGATAAATGACTTAACCGGTTAATTCGGAGTTATGAATTTAACTTTCCGAAATTACTCTTTAGAAATTTGCTAATATATATATATATATTTTTTTTTTGTCCTCATAATTTGCTAATGATTAAAGATGTCTAATGCAAATATTTTTTGCTAATATTTTTTTTTTGATATTATTTTTTTTTTTACAGAGCATCGTGTTCGTGTATAATTGGAAGTGTAAATGAACGCAAATAATAAAAATATATATTTTAGTTTGTGTTTCACATTCATGAATATAACTTGCAAAAATCATTTTATAAAAACAGTAAAAAAGCTAGTATCATTTGATACTAAATATATACTTTAGTTTAACATTTGTATAGAAATATGTGGTTGAAAAAAAAAGATATGATCCTAAACCGACTTTACTATATGTAGCTCAAAGAAAAGATATAAGAAAACAATCTAATCCTAAACCGACTTCACCATGTGTAGCTCAAAGAAAAGATGTAAGAAAACAATCTAATCCTAAACCGACCTTGCCATATGTAGCAGTGACAAGAGCAATAAGAAGTAAATTAAGTATTTCTTTTTTTTTTTGTTAAAGAAGTAAATAAGTATTTCGAACATTAATTCCTTTTATTTATAAATTTTTTCGTCCACGACAAGGAAAAGTAAAGAGCAACAGTGAATTTTTCAAAGTCAACTGTTTGTCAAGATAATTCCAAACACATTTTTTTCTCGTAGAAAAGTATTGCACGTTTCGGTAAAAGACAGATGCATACTCTCTAGTGTATACGAACAAAAGTTTGGACTGGATATATTATTGACTCCAATGTGGAATTTCTAATTCGGTCGTTGTCTTATCTCTTTTCTGTCTCGTTGACTCGTTTTTCAAAGTTTTTCATAAAGTATGACTTATCTGAAACTTAAGTTGAATATTCAAGATGGAAATCTACAACCGTTAAAAGTTAAGTTGAATATTCAAGATGTAAACGAGCATACAAATATATACAATACAATTCGAAACTTGCAAATTACTTTCTCAACAGTATAACTTATTAATGAAAAAAAAACTTATTAATGTAAACATATGAACCTAATTTAGTTCTAAATTATAAAATATGACACACACATACGATGTGAAAGAAAGTGATATATATATATATATATATATATATATAGTCTGTTAAAAACTTCAAATAAAATATGCATATTATTGACCCTAAAATAAACATATTCATGAATCATCACGCTTTTAGTCTTCAATGCTTAGATTCACATGTTTGGGCATACTCACCTAAACTTGTTCTATATGGGTCACGACATTTTTTTGTTGACAAAGATTTTATATGGGTACATTCATACGTTCAAGTATACTTAACTTTACCATGTTTATTTTGTGTGGTTTTATTAGTAGTGGAATAAGAAATATACGTACCGAGAAATAAATAGCACAAGAGATGACAAAGGTGATGTAACGACCAAGATGAGCATCTGCGACGTAAGCACCCAAGATAGGAGTGAGCCAGCTAGTCCCGACCCAATTGGTCACATTGTTCGACGACTTGACCGTTCCTTGGTGCAATTTAGTAGTCATGTAGATCACTAGGTTGCTCGATATCCCGTAATAAGCCATCCGTTCAAATACCTCGTACACTAATCATATTATAACATTTTCGTTTAGATAGTAACAAAAGAAGGTTGAAAAAAAAAACTAAACGAATATGAAATTATATACAATAAAAGACATTTCATGTAACTTGCAGACAGAATGCGTAAATTAATATAAATAATTATTTATCCTAGTATTGGATACGAGTTACATTTTATGTCAATAAGAAATTTTAAAACTAGAAAAAAGAGACTATGAATTACTTAATTTTCCATTGACAATTAATTTTGAGTTAAGCCCTTTAATATAATTTTTTTTTTGAGTTTATCCCGTTTTAAATCTCTAATACTGCTGACGAAAAAAAAAAAATCTCTAATATTGCTAGTGAGCCTCTCGTGTCAAGTTTTTTTGTAGACTTATATTATAAAAAAAAATGAAATTCTTTGTGATATTTATTACCAGAAATCGTTGGCCTCAATTATTTTTCCACATATTATCCTAAATAAGATAAGATAAGACTGATAAGTCACGGTTTTTCACTCTCTCGACACAATTGAGAAGTTTCCCACACTATGGCAGATTAAGATTTAAAGATATATTTATATCATGATCTTAAAAAAAATCTTGTTTCTAAAAGTGTAAAGATTAACTCATAATTACGGTGATTAATCAACTAAACTGTATAGATTGTGGAAAACAGACATATAAAAAAGGGGAAAAATATTGAATGCCAAGAAGGCAAGAATACATACGGACGACGAAGGAACAAGCTTTCCATCGACCTCTAATGGATCTTCGTACAGGTTTGCCTCGAAGATCAACTGTTCCATCTTTTGTATAATCATCTCCTACCTCTTCTACCGTCATTTCCTCTCTCTCTTCTTTTTAGTTTTAGTTTTTTTTTCTCTCTCTAGTTTTTTCTTTCTTTGTTTGGTAGCTTATGTGCTTTTTCAACGTGAAGAGAGTGGGTGCTTTTGTCTCATATATATACAAAGAAGATTGATGAGTCACATAGATACAGAGAATCTTTCGACGTAGCACATTTAGTTACTGCCTATAGTTATTATATTATTTTATTAGTCATCTTTTTAGAAATAAGACAATTTTTATTTTTGTCTTGATTAGAAAATAACTATTACTAGGATTTGACCCGCGCCCTGCACAGGGTAATATTTAATTCCAAATAAAATTTACTAAAAAATGTCTATTTACAAAACTTAAAATTCTAAGCAACATATTTTATAGTTGGTTTGGTGTTTATCTGCTTTTCCAAAGAGAAAATAATCATCTTATATAGCAAAAGGATGCTATTAAAAAAAAACAGCTAATGAATGAGGTTGGAGCCTTCAAAAGTGTATACCACAATATTAAGTGTAGAGTATCCTTTTCTTGACCATGACCACGATCCTAAAGAGATTGACAACAAATTAAATCCTCATTACTACGATTATCAATCAAGATTACTATCATATTAACACGACATTTATATTTGGAAACTTCGAATTATTAGTTTACCACAAATTTTAAGTTTAAAAGTCTTACACTTTGACGATTTTAAATGATGAACTCATACATATGAACACATTTGAAGTCATTCCATAATTTGTATTTGCCATTATGAATTGCATTCTAAATTCGTGATATTGATTCCAATCACCACATTTATATTTGGAAAGGGAATTATTATGTTATCATAAAATATAACGTTTTAAAAACTCAAAAATTAAGTAATGCCGAATCCTATCACCACTTATTGTCAATTTTTTTAACTGAAAACTAATTAAATGTATCACCTTAATCCCATTTTATTCTGAGGGATTTTTGTAAGTTGGGAAGACAATATTGATCACCCAAATATTTACATTTTCTGTACGATGACCACTTTAGATTGATTACTTGAAGGTTTAATTTAGTCTTCTCAGGAATCAGGATTATTCGTAAATCAATACCGGTTTAATCACTTTATAGAGTAACACATCATACACGAAACGGATATGCATGTGTGTATTCATACACCAATATATGTATGTTAAACTTGCAATAAAAATATGTGCTATCAAGTTAAAAACTATGTATAATAACATATATATATATATATATATATATTTGTCTCATGTGTAAAAATATAAAATAAGAGTGAAGTTATAGTTCAGTAACACGTATATGTGAAGCACTATAAATAAAGTTTACATGCACTACATATGTAGTTGATTGTAAAGGAAATTAAATGTTAATTGTTAATTTTTAATGGGCTTCGTTAATGTTAATGTTAGTTAGGGGAGAATTAATTGTTAATAAGTAAGACATATTATACAATGACATATTATGTAATTTGTCTAGTAAAGTTTGTCTTAATTAGAAATTGGTTTGAGAGTGAACCTAGTGATGACACCTAAGCAATGACATTTTTGTTAATAATACATAAGACAAAGGTTAATTTGACAGTGTTTTCTCTTTTAATATATTAAGGATGTGCTGAGGTTATAATGAATTGTTAGAGGAGGCCCACATAGTTAGATGTGTATGGCACTTTATTGAAAATATGTACATTTATGTTTTAGGAAGTTTTACAATCCTTTGTAAAAACTCTTTTAGGAAACTTTACAATCCTTTGTAAATTTACAATCCTTTGTAAAAACCCTAGGCTGTTAGGGTCTTTGATTTTGTATAAATAGAGCCTCTTGGCTTGTGAATAAACTCAGAACATTCAGAACCTTGTTTTACATGGTATCAGAGCGAGACGATCTTGAGAACATCGACTCCGATACAGAGATCTTGCCTAATCCGGGCAACTTGGCGATGGCGTTAGTTGAGAAAGAGATGAAAGGAGCATACCAGCTCTCGGCGACTGAGAATCCTGGTGCAGTGATTGCATAGGTTCAGTTTAATGGTGACAACTTTGATGAATGGGCTCAAGCGGTGCGGACTGCGCTGCGAGTAAAGAAGAAGTTTGGTTTCGTTGACGGAAGTGTGACGGAGCCGGCGAAAGATGCAGCAGACCATGAAGATTGGCTTTCTGCTAAATCAATGGTGACTTTGTGGATCTTAAACACAGTGGATTCTAAAGTAAGAAGAACTTTGGCAAACAAAGAAGATCCAGCGGAGCTGTGGAAAGAGATTAAGGAACGATTCTCTGAAGGAAACGGACCAAGAATTCAGGAGATCAAGGCTGAACTGGCGGTTTGCCGACAAGGAAACTCGAGTGTGATCGAGTACTTTGGAAAGTTACAAGTTCTTGGGAAGACTTGTTGAACTATGAAACAAGTCCGGAATGCAAGTGTGGATTATGCAAGTGCAACTTGAATTCCGAACTTGAGAAGAAACGAGAAGAAGATCGGATTCACCAGTTTCTTCTAGGGCTTGATGATGCTATCTATGGAGGAGTTCGCACTTCAATCATCAGCACTGATCCTCTTCCAAACCTTAACCAAGTTTACTCCAAAGTAAAATCTGTTGAGAGAATCAACACGGTGATGCGTGGAAGAGAACAACAAACACCTCAAACGGCGTTTGTGACACAGAGAAACAGTGTAATGTCCAAAGAGGAGAAGCTCAAACTGACATGCACAAACTGTAAGAAGAAAGGACACACCGCAGAGACATGCTATCAAACCATCGGATATCCAGAATGGTGGGGAGAAAGAGCAGGACAACAAGGAGGAGGTCGCGGTGGTGGTCGTGGAATGGGAAGAGGACGCGGAATGGTTCGAGCCAATGCCGTGATAGGTCCAAACAGTGGTGATGGTGAAATCAGCACTGAAGCAGAACGAAGTGGGTACATTGGACTCACTAACGAACAATGGAGCACACTAATCAAGCTATTGGAAGAGAAACAAGGAGCAACACCTGCTTGACTGGTAAGTCTTTCTCTCATGACTGGGTGATTGATACAGGAGCATCAAATCACATGACTGGATATGTTGACTTGTTGAATGATCGGAAGTATATGTTGCCATGTGGTATTGGCCTTCCAAATGGAAAACAGAGCTTGTCTCGAGAAAAAGGGACAGTAATTTTTGATGAAGATTTTGCTCTTAAGAATGTGTTGTTTGTTCCGGATTTGAGATGCAACTTGATATCGGTGTCACAACTTATTAAGGACTTGGATGTGGTGTTACAGATTGCTAATAAGGGTTGTGTAATTCAGGACCGTATCGAGAGGAGGCTGATTGGAGCGGGTGAGCTTCGGGATGGACTTTACTTCTTTCGTCGCTTGAAGAATTTTAGAGCTTAGTTTGAATAAAGATGGAGCCGATGAGATGTGGCATCAACGACTTGGACATCCATCCAATGGTGTTTTTGATTTGCTTCCTATTGTTGGTAATAGGAGTAGGGATTTTTCAGTTTGTGATACTTGTGTGAAAGCTAAACATAGTCGAGAGGTTTTTCATTCAAGTGATAATAAAAGCGACGAAATTTTTGATATGATTCACTGTGACTTATGGGGGCCATATCGTAGTCCAAGTTTGTCTTCTTTCTTCTTGGCCATGTTTTTAACTTCTTTTCTTAAGTCTTACCGTGAAAGAGTTTGCTCTGGCTTGGCCAAATACCATGGGATACCTGCTGATGGTGTTGAGAGGCGTCGTAGAAGACCAAGTAGCGATGGAGAGCCGAGAAAGAAGAGCCCTACAAAGAAAAGTAGCAGAGATTCTTCAGAGACGGAAAGGCAAAGCCAAGTGAAAGTAGTGAAAGTACGGAAGCGCAAAACACCTGTTTATAAAGATCCTTTGGCGAGTTCTAAACTGGAAATGATCAAAAGCATCAGAGCTAAACGAGTTGCGGAAGAGTCTAAGAAGATGGATGCTGTGGAACGAGCAAGGTCAGTCTCAACTGTTAATATTATAATATATATCTCTCTGTTTGGAATTGTGAGCTAATCTTTTATCTTGTCAGGCTTTTGATCTCGGAAGCTGAGAAAGCTGCGAAAGTTCTTGAGATTGCTGCTATGAGAAGCCCTGTTGCTCAAGCTTCTTTGTTAGAGAGTAAGAAGCTCATAGCTGAAGCCACGCAGCTGATTGAATCTATAGAGATGAGGCAGATAGCATCTTCAGATGATGATGAGCCTAATAATAGTCTCCTGGAGGAAGACTGTGAATCCGAGACCGAGGAATACACAAACTATCAAGAACAAGAAGGAGAGATTAACGGAACACACACGTTCCCTATCAACGGAGAGAGTCTTCTTCACTTGAACATGAGATCTAGCGATTTGCCGACACTCAACATAGAAGATATCAAACTCGGGATGGGTCCACAACCAAACGGAACAAGAGTCAATCCAGCAGCAGAGTGTAATGGAGCTATGAAACTTGCTGAGAATCATCATCAACCTCTTCCGAATGGTTCTAAAGTTAACTACGGGAATGAAGAAAAGGCTGAGTCTTTGGAATCAGGAAATGTAACCAAGAAGTGGGTTCGTGGAAGGCTCGTCGAAGTCACAGAAGCAGCCTAACTTCTTCTATCAAAACTGGACTAGAAATGAGGTAATAATAGTGTTGTTGTAGCAGAGAAAAATGTATTTGTTCGGTCTTAGTGATTCAAATTTTTGGCTTATATTATTGGTGTCGAGAGTTTGAGGGATGCAGTTTCCAGTTTCTGACTTGCCAGTTGTAATCTATAAACTCAGTTGTATGTCAAGATCTTCAGGTTAGTAGTAAACAGTTGTCCCTACAATACTAAAACCATAGTTTCATATCATTCAAAAAACCATTACTCAGTAGAGGTAGTGGGCCCTAACAGAGCCCAACTTAGGAGTGTGGTTGAAGCATAAGATAGGGTTTATACTTTATTAAAAGAAAGAGTAACCTACTTTGGTCACAATCCAGGTTTAAGAAATAAGAAGTATCTATAAGATTTTCCCTAAGTTCCTTGTGTGTTTAGGAGTTGTGAAGATCAGGTTAGTGCGAGATAAGGCAATTTGATCTTCACAAACAGAACTAGTTAATCAATTTCCATGTTTGTTTTGGAGTTACGAAATCTATCGCGTATCTTGTGAACGTGTATATAAAGCAATTGCCGTCGATCAATGGCAATAACAAGTTTTTCCCTGAAGCTCTTACTTACTTCAAAAGGGTTTTAGTCCATCGCCATAACAAAACAGACGCAGCAAGTCTCCGACGATGACGTAGTAGAAGATCACTTTGGACTGATCCCTGTTCATCTGGTCATTCATAATATATTCCCAAGATGGTCGGTGAAGTCCGTGGCGCTAAGTCGTTGCGTATCGAAGGTTTGGTCGTCGATAATTCGCCATCCAAATTACGACCTATTGTTCCCGATCACCGTCTCCACCACGGCTCCTCATGTCCTTCGAAGTGAAGTAGATCTGTTATCCTACTATGCCCCTCAGCCTCAAGATCTTGATCTGTCTCTCGAATTCACTACAAAACCATAATTTATTACATATCACATATATCATATTATATGTCGTCTTAGAAGCTTAGATTACTTCTTGATCTTAAAAATGGTGCAATATACATTAGTCATATATAGACCACCACAAAATAACTGCTTGAATTTGAATTACATTAATCCCAGAAGATAAAACACCTGATCATTTATGTGAAAGCTTTACAAATTAGAAAATGCAAAGATATTTGTAGATGGAATATCCTAAAACAACTTGTTCTTAGGCTTACATATTTGTTTAGATGTTAGGTTTCAAAAGCTTAACTTTATAGAAGATGATAAATCAACGACTTGTAATTGCATTTTCATACTAGTGCAAATCAGGTGTACTTCAGTTTAAATATTTGTCATGTTATGAAATGATGAGCTAGTGTTCTTTTTAGAGACAACGCTAATTACAAATAGAATATTATGTAATTGGTGTTGGAATTTGTTTTGATGTCTAAGTTCTCTAATAATCTTGTTAGGCCATATACTTTGTGTTTTGGCCTAAGTAATATAACTAACACAATTCAGTTTGATGAAAACTTAAAGTCCATCTTGTTGCCACTGCGGCGGGTAGAGAGGTAAAAAAAATCGGTATTATTAAAATCGAACAATCATAGAAAAGGCTTTGTTGAGGCCCAATACCTACATCCTAAATTGTATGTATTTTATTTTCATGGTTAATCAACTTTGAGGAACTGACTTAAAATCAATTTTAAACGCATATCTAACACCACTCACTTGTGTATGAACTTTTGGAAAATCTTGAACCAGCCTTTGGTACTCATATTATAACAATCTCTAATTAAAAAGAGAATTAGTAACTTCAAAGCTGAAATCATTACTAAACAGAGAAATACATACATTGCAGAGAATCATCCTCTTCCGAATGATTTAGTAATGATTTCAGAGTCTAATGGAGCTAATCAAACTTGCTGAGAATCATCCTCTTCCTGAATGGTTGTAAAGTTTACTAGGGGATTGAAAACAAGGCTGCGACTTTCGAATCAAGAAATGTAACAAAGAAGTGGGTTGTAGAAGGCTCGTCGAAGTCAGAGAAGCAGCCTAACTTCTTCTATCAAACTTGACATGAGGCTGATAATGTTGTAGAGATATTAGCAGAGAAAACTCTTATTGTTCAGTCTTAGTGATTCAAATTTTGTGGCTTATATTATTTGGAGTCAAGCGTTTGAGAGATGCAGTTTCCAGTTTATGATTTCCCAATTGTATCCATAAAATCAATTTGTATGTCAAGAGTATTTGGTTAGTAGTATTATATCGGAAAGAAATCACTACTAGAATCATAGTTTCATATCCAAAGAAACAATGGGAAATATTAACTTCAAAGAAACCAATCATCAAAAGACAAAAAAAAAACAAAAACAAAAAAAAAACAAATAATAAAACCAAACAAGGGGAATTAGTTATGTTTGGAAAACCAAACACTTACATTAATTTCACATCCTTTACAAAGTTTGGAAATGTGCGAACTTTTCTGAAATCAACAGGATCAATTTCTGGAACTTGAACGGGCGTCATAATTTTACTCTCGAGATTGTAGTAGAAAATGTTGAAAGGACGACGTGGTTTAATTGTTAGGTAAAACACAAGTTGGCCACTACCAATCATTGCAGCAGAAAAGAAGGGTGGTTTCATGATGTTTGGACGTTGTATTTGGTGCATATTGAACCATTTATGTTCTTCTGCATTCTCTAAAACCCACACATTTGACAAATTAGACAAATCAGAGTCAATAGCACCTAACTTACCCTTGTGGTCTATCAGAATCAAAGGACGTTCCCAGATAGTTGTTGCCTTGATCACCTGATTCACCTGATCAAGGTTAATAAAACTGAATTCCTCAGACCTAACGTCAAAGCAAAGGATCGAACGTTTTTTGTCAATGATTACTTGATAATACAAAACCCCATTGATGCATATTCCCTCGTCTTCGCCTTTGTAATAATAATGATGAAGTATGAAACATTCGATATTTCTCCAAGAAAGATTTCCAGTCCCTAGTGTAAGAACTTGACTGACGTGTGAGCCAAGAAACCAAGTGCTAAGCAATACCTTGAACTGTTTTCCGATTGGATCATAACCAAAATGAATCCTCTCCTTTGATAAAGGCCATTTTGATGTCACTTTGGGTGTGGTTACGAACTCTCCTGTGATGGGATTTGAAATCACAGCCCATAAACACTTGTTTCCGATATGTTGACTACAGACCAGTCCGTTGACTGGGGGATATGTTTTAACTTCATAGCAATATTCTGAGGAGAAACTCGTGTGACGTGTGGGCGGAAGATATCGTACTGATGGTTTTGGAGGTTGAGGTGAAGAGAAGAAGAGCAACTTTGTTTCTTTTTCCAAGGCGTAAAGGAGCCTCGGTTTCGGTGTAGCCGGAGACTTGATCGGGAACAACAGGTGGTAATTAGGACGGCGAACTATCGAGGACCAGAGCTTCGATACGCAACGACATTGAGCCAAAGACTTCACAGGCAATCTGGACAAGATATTATTAATGAACAGATCGACAGGGATCAGATCAAAGGAACTTTCATTGGATCCGCAAACGGTTGAGTTATTGCCGGAGATGCACTGCTTCTGTTTTTTCATGGCGATGGACTAAAACCCTTGATTGATTGTGACCAATGTAGGCGTCTCTTTCAAGTTAAAGTAAACCCTATCTTACGCTTCAATCAAACTCCATAAAATGGGCTTTGTTAAGGCCTTATCCTACGCACTAAATTGTAGGTCCCCCATTAAGCCGAGTTTAGCGTAATTAATTAGTTTTGTTTGGAATAACTAAACACTTAACATCATCCTCTACGTACATACAGTACATAGTTTGGAAATGTGTAAACACACCAATAAACTAAACGCTTCAAAACCCTCTAATTAAAACCCTCACATCAAAAAAAGTTATGCTTAATTAAATTCAGAATTGCAACCTCCTAATTTACCCTCGTAGTCGATCAGCTAGAGTGAAAGTGAAAGGCTCCGTGATCTTTACTTCCATGTCTTGATCGATGTTAGTAGAACTAAAGATCTCAAACTTGACTTTAATAGCTCTTCGATTATTAAAGCTTGACTTGAGTAAAAACGCAAGGCGTGAACCAACTTCTTTTAAAAAGATCTTGAATTTATCAGTGTTGACAAAATTCCTCAAGATTAATAAATAACCTAACTAAAACCAACATGATCTTCTCACTATTTCATCATCATTAGAGACTCTTTACATTTTCTTATATATATACTAAAGAAACATCTTATTGATAGATATATTTGGGTTGATTTAACAATTAAGAAATCAGAGAAAACACATGTAAAAATAAGAGCCTAAAAACATAAGAAAGCAATTGATTATGTGGATTCCTTCTGATTGGAAGAAGTAAACATTACATAAGCTTTTCATCCTCTACAAAGTTTGAAAACGTGTGAACTCTACAACACGCTTCCAGATCTAGAAACTGG